CCCCCCCCCCCCCCCCCCGGCGAGGAAGCAGAAATCGGCCATCGTCTCGTGTCCGTCGACAGCGAGACGCGCGCGCGCGCGCGCGCGCGAAACACACGGGGCGAAGGTTGGCCGAGGACCAACGGAGACAACTTCGGGTTAAACTGAAAATTCCCCAAGATCCCCCGATAATCGGCGGCATGCGAACCAGTGTCCCAGCTATTTGGCCAATGTGATAGCTATCATTATTAATCCTCCCTTTCCTCACCCCTTGGGCGAAGAAACATCGCCCCATGTCTCTCCCCCGGCGCGCGGCTGGCGGGGTGGACGAGGAACGCGGGGTGTGGGGGGGAGTGGAAACGAACACGAGCACAAGGGCTAAACGACCAGCCAACCCCGCCCTGGCCCCAAATAGCGCCCTGCGGTCCGGGCCTTTGCCGCGTCAGCTCCCACGCCGGTGAATCCCAAAGCGGCAAGGCGCGCCGGTGGGCGTTCAGCTGTTCGGGTCTTTTTCCATCAGGTCGCCGCTCCCCCACCCCGCCAGAACCCCTGGTATGTGGGAGGGCCGCCCATGCTGCCGGCGAATGTGCACGCACGCACAGGCTCTCCCGCACACACGCGTGCACGCCCTCGAGGGGCACGTTCATTTCTACGGCTCTTGAACCGATCAGAATGGACCCCGTCGCCATCCTCCCCCTCCCCCCCCCCCGCCTGAGGTACCCCTGGGTGCCTAGGCTTGCCATTGCGACGGGAAATGGGGAGAATGGAGTGAGGCCAACCGGGCGAGTGTGACACGGCGGGGAAATCCCCCTGCTCGCCGCTGTTCGGGCGTGGGTGGATGGGTGGGGGGGGGGGGCTCACACTCGACGCGCCCTCGAACCCCGCGGTGAGCTGATGCCCCGAGACCCTCAACTGTTGTGCCAGCCTTTGACCGTGTATTTGCTGGAGGCACCCCCGGCCCCCCGCCGGCTTCTCCTTCCTCGGCTGGCACCCCCCGAGAGTGCGAGAAGGCTCCCTGCCTCCCTGGCCGCTGCGAGCGACTCCGAAAATCAGCGTGGGAATAGTCCGTCATCGAAGCGCCCGGGCACAGGCGGCAACAGTCGCCCTGCCTATTTCCGCAAGGTGAGGACGAGGGACCCTCTCCGCCCGGTTCCAGGATCGTTACGAGATCCATACTGACTGACAGCCGCCGGGGGGGGGGGGGGGGGGGGGCCAGGGAGTCCCCTGGCGAAAAAAAATGCACTCAGCGATCAGCATATGCGGAGAGGAGGAGGCGCACCGGACGGCGCTCCCTCGCGTTCTTTGACCCCCCCCCCCCCCCTGCCTGTGGCTCGTGAAATCCAGGTCCACAAATTCCGTAGGCGGAGCCGAGCCTCCTCCAAAAAGGTATTCCCATACCGGGACTCGAACCCGGGTCTCGTGGGTGAGAGCCACGTATCCTAACCACCTAGACTATATGGGATATACAATGTGCCGGCTTCCCGGGGAATTTATACCACTGGGATTCTATTTTTTCGGAACCGACAGAGCCACGCCATCACCGCCGAGCTGCTTGCATCTTCTGGCGCGATCTCCTCAGAGCCCGCCGATGGGTCCTCGACCTCGTCGGGGTCCGTCTCCTCGCCATTCCCCCCTCGGATGTCGGTCTGATCGGCCTAAGGCTGGTATATTTCTGGACACGAGGATATCCCTCTTCCCCTGTGTCTCTCTTTCTCTCTCCCTCCCTCTCTCTCTCTCTCTCTCTCTCTCTCTCTCTCTCGCTGTCTTCGCCCCTGTGTTCCCTCCGGGACAAGCGGGCAATCAGTAATAGTAGTCGTCGGAGGAGCCGCCAAACAGGGGATCTACACGGACAGGCACCAAGGCCGGTGCGGTGGGCTCTTCGCGGCCCTGTTGCTCGTTGACCTTCTCCCCTTCGACGCCATTCTCCCCGAGGGAAGCCGGGTCCATGTTCGGGCCATCCAGCCGATCCGCCTCCTTCGATTGATCGGCCTCGCCATCGGTATTCGACTGGGCCCCCTTTAAGTCGAAGTCCTCCACCGGCCGTGGCACTTCCTCGACCGACTCCGGGTGTGACGACCCGCGTGCCACACTCTCTTCAGTGGCCGAGGCGCTCGCCGTGCCGGGCTTGGGCCTTCCCTCGACGCTCTCGTCGCCGGCCGCCTGGCCGGCATCCGCCGGGTGATCCTTGTCCGCAACTTCGGGGGCCGGCTGCGACACCGACGACGATGCGGCCTGCTCCTCTTCCTGCACAGGGTGGTCGCTCTTCATGGGCTGCTCACCGGTCGGAGCCTGCTTCTCGCCTTCCGCCGGGGCACTAGTGTCCCGCTCTCGGGAGCTTGCGCGGTCGGCCACCAGCTGAGACAGGCGCTCCCGGAGGAGATCCGGCTCGGTGGTCTTGCCCGTTCCCGGGCTATAGGCCACCACATGGCTGCCCTCCGGACGTTGCCAGAGCCCGGCCGAGCCATGTGGATCATAGAAGCGGGCATTGATACCCGGCCGGCGCGAGCCGTCCGCATCCGGTGTGTCGACTCGTGTCTCGGGCCAAAGGATGATCCCCGGGCCGCCGAGGGTCCGGCCGCCCTCGGCGTCTGGGACACCGGTTCCATCGATGGATGGCAGCGCTTCGGCCGGCCCCACCACGGTTGTCGGTCGCAAGCGCGCGATCAACTCGCTCTCGGCGCTGGTGCTCATGATGAGGACGTCGGCCGAGTACAGGTGGATCAGAACCGGCAGCAATCGCCCGGGCGAGGAAACCACCTCGATATTGAGCTCGCGCGCGCGCGAGCGCAACTCAATCATCTCGATCTGTTCGCACAGGGTCACGACCACAGCACGGCCGCGATCGCCACCGCGATCACCCCCACCCCCACCCGGGTGTACATCCAAAGTGTCAGTAAATAAGGGCCCCATTCAAAGGCACACATTTGCCCCTGGGTCTTCTCGCTCGGGGTCCCAGAGAAGGGCAAGAGAGGAGGCGACAGACGCACCGCCGGCGCCTCGGAAAAGACATAATACTTGACAGGAAGCCCTGGCACATTGGCCAAATGCAGCTCGGCTTGGACATGCTCAATAAGGCGGACCAGTCCACCAATGAGGGCTGTCATTGGGGAGACGGGGGGGGGGCGAGTGGGGCACGAGGTCAGTCCACATATCGACGGTGGTTTTCTCCATCGGCCCATGCTCCGACGTTCTGCGCTACTGGACTTGTGGTCCAGTTGCGACATCAGGCGGGGGGAAAGAGGAAACAAAGGGTCTGGAAGTAAGGGGCAGCATGCCCGGCCAGCTGAGACATACGGTTCTCCCCCGACTTGATCTGGTCGACAGATTCCTGAGGTCGAAGAGCTCGCAGGTGGAAGGCCACAAAGAGAGTCTCCTTCGAGCTGGCACTGTGACGGTCAAACTGCACGGAGATGGGCCACCGGCGCCGCGCGGCGCGGAACCTCTGGCGGAATTCCTCCCACCCAAGGCCACGCAGGTATGCCCGCTCCCGGCCCTCGGAGCTGTCCAGCAGCAGGCCGTCCGCCGGACCTGTGAGATGGAGAACAGCTCCACACTCGCGCCGATGATCCGCGAGAGTCCGCTCGACGGCATTGGCAGCATGGGGATCCTGTCGGGTTGGGCATCGCCAGTGTCAGCAGCCTGGCCCTCGCCAACCTCTCTCTCTCTCTCCCCCCCCCTCCCCCTCAATCGCCCTCTTCCCTTCCGATTGCCTTCCTCTCTCCGGACCGCCTTGGCCTTTCTGCCCCCCCCCCCCCCCCGATGCTGCTCGGAGTTCAAGCCTTCCCAGGGGACGACACTGACGGCCATTTAGAAAGTCAAGCCGCCATACGCGCCATACTCGGGGAGTAACCATGCCACGTACCACCGAGGCTCCAACAACCTCCAAACAGGGCAGGAAGGAGCGACACTCCTTCCCCCGGAAGCCAGCCAGGCAAATGTCGCCATAGTGCTTGACATTGAGGGCCCGCTGCGGATCGGCTTCTCCCTCGGCCAAGCCGAAAAAGCGATCGAGCTCGTACATCTCCGGCGAGGTCAACCCGGCTGGCATGATCGGGTGCGCCAGTGGGGTGACATTGTTCTTCTTGGCCAATATCACCATCGAGTGACTGTGTATGCAGGTCAACATATGATGCGCCTACGGCGGAAGCCGCGCCCTCCTCCCTGCCACTGGGGGGGACGATAGAAAGTCACGCACATCTCGAAGAAGTAGTGCCCGAGGGAGGAATCGGCCCGAGGGACCAGCGCCAAGTATTGCTGGCAGCTATCCGCCTCCAGGGGATCCCCCATGCAATAGTCCTCATGGATGCGGCGCAGAGAGATGCCCACATTGGACCCGGCCTCGACGGGGTAGTTGCGCAGATTCCGCGGCGTCGGGTGGTATAGGGTCGATGTGCCGCGATGGGCCTCATACAGGGGCTCCCCCCGGCGCAGGGCCTCCGGGAAGGGCTGGTACACGAAGTGCGGAATCAGCGGGCCATAGGCAATCGGCGAGAGGCCAATGTCCTGGGCCTGGCCTCCGGTCCCCGGGTTCGGCAGGACCGCATGCTCGCTGGACTCGCCAGTCGGGCTGCTGGGAGAGGGTGTTCCGCCCGTGGGTTCCGGAATCAGGGGGGCATTGCTCGGATCTTCGCTGTCCATGAAAAGCCTCCCACCTCCGGGCAGATCGAAGTCCTGGTCCAGTGGATCACCCACGAGTCCATCCAAGTCCAAGAGCCGATCACCCTCGGACACCAGGCCCCCAGGCGGGACGGGATGCGACTCCGGCCGTTGGATGTGATAGGGCTTGGCGGCCGAGTCCCGGAGGAAGCCCGCAGTATACTGCATTTCGCGCTGGAGTTCGGCCGCCCGGTTCGAGCCATATCTATGTGCTCCAAAGTAGAGGGTGTCACTGGTGGAGGGGCCGCCGTGGGGCTGTGACTGCGGGGCTCCCGGGCCCGGGCCCACCGAAGCCCCGGGCCTACCGCGAACGATGTCATCCAATGTGACGCCCGAGCCTCCGGGCATCGGCGGCCCGTGCATGTGGGTGGCTGCCGACGGGCCAACGCGCACGCCCCCCTGTTGCAGGGTCATTTGAAGGAAAATGAGGGCCCCCAGCACGAAGGCGCCGGAGATGCCCAGGACCTTGAGCAGCCTCTTGGCCGCGGTCATGACGGAGTGCGCGCCGGGCAATCGGCCGGGGTCTCTTGCGTATTGGCTCCCACCGACCGCCTCACAGGATGTACTTACTCTGCCCGAGCAGGCTCTGAAGGGATAGCGAGTAGGCAAAGAGGCAGCCGAGGAAATGCACGGCCAGCACCAGGTACAATGCCACCGACAGGCTGGCAATCAGTTCGAAGTCTATGGTGAGGAGGCCTTCGAGGTGTTACACCCGGGCAGGACGCCAGTGGGGCAGGTCCAGGGAACAGGCAGTGCCATCAAATGGCCGCCGGGGCGAAGGGTTAGCCATTCAGCATGTAAGCAAGGAGGGGAAGGCGCGTCTGGATGGGAGGCGCGTGCGTGTGGGGACGCCAGGTGCCACTCCCCCCCGGGGACGCCCCCTCCTTGGTGCGGAGGCAGGGCGAAAGGCAAGTGCCAGGCATACTTGTTATGTTGATGGACACTCGCTCGGAGAGCCTTCGAATCCACCTCATACTTGCTGCACAGGCCCCGGCAAGATGGCAGCAGCGATGGGAAAAAAATCGGGGATGGGGACAAAAAGCAGAGAGAGAGAGGAGGAGGAGGGGGAAAGAGCGAAGAGGGCGGACAGGAGAGCTTCCCAACAAGTACCTGGGCACTTGGAGCAGGGAAGGGCACCGGCGGAGCTGTCCCCGGAGGATGTATGCACTCCAACACCGGAAAAGTTGTACACTCACGCACTCTCTGGGGCCGACAACTCCAAGCGTCTCAGGTTTGGCGAGGTGCCGGAGAGCAGAAAACGAGAGAAAGAGAGGGACAGGCGAGGGGAGAGGGAGAGGGGGCGGGGGCGAGTCCAGTTGCTTGGGATGGAGGAAAAGGAAGACACAAAAGCTTGCCTTGCTGATACGGGCTGCTGCTTGAAGACAAAGAGCGCCCCTAGGGCGAAAGGTAGATGGAATTTAAGGCGCAGCAGGAGGGGGGAAGGTGAAAGAAGTGAGAAAGGGATGATGGCTATGGAGGAGCAGCATCCTGCCCGACTCGCGGGGCCGCGCTCTCTTGAAGAGCAGGCCTCTCTTCCGGGGCCTCCACCGATTTACCCTGGCGCGCGACCCCGACACGGCCGAGCAGATCTCCCACCGCCAAATCACGGCCCCTGGCCCCCGATCGATTGCCGTGCTGATGGACCCGCAGGAACGCGCCCTCGGAGGTCCGTTGTAACTGAGGCACCTTCACACACCATCATGCCCCTCGAGGGGCATGATGACAGCAGGGCCCGGCGATGTTGGTGCTCGGCAACGTCGTTCCCAGCCCAAGGCCGGCCAATCGGGACCCCCGCCCCCGAGTCGGACACCCGAGTCATTTGCGCCATCGTCAAAGCGTGTCGAGGTTGGACCGTGAGGGGCGAGGGGAAATTCTGACCAGACACAAACATAAAGGTCGCAACCCGGAAGCCAGGCCTCGAAACGTACGACCCGAGTTCCATTGCCCATGGGGGCACAACCCACAGGCCATTGAGGGCTATGTGTCAGACATGTCACATGGACAGCTTGATAATGAGATCACGCCCACGCCACGCCCAACATCTGGCATGATTCCCCTGGTGGAGGGGGCGCCCGCGATCTTGCCCTGCACCCAAATAGGGGCCCACACCACACCGACGCACCGGCTTGACTCTAGCTCCTCCGACGTCAGCTCTTGTCTCTCTCCTCTGCCCCCCCCCCCCTGCCCCCCGTCCTCCGCGCTCTTGACTCTTCTCCCCAGGCGCCTGCTGCTTTTTACACCAACAGTATGCACCGGAAATCATGAGTTCCCCCCCGGTGCCTTGTCAGGAGCCATCACGCCCCCGGGCGCCCGGCACTCGTAGCCGACCGGCCATGTATCAGGACCGGTCCCAGTCCGATAGTCAGCCTGGCCTCTCGACCGCGAGCTTGCCCCTGGACTTACCGTACACAGTTTCGCCATGCCTCGATTCCTTGAGCGATATTGACGATCTCCGAGGGACGCACCCTGATGATCTTGAAGATCTGCCTTTCTCCTCATCCGGCTTGGACCTGCGTTTGAATAATTATAATGTCAAGCGGGTCCGTTTGTATCCCACATGTCTATGCTCGCCTGTGTTTGTGGAGAGGTGGGAAAAACGGCGCTTTGCTTCCCATTTCGACTCCCTGACACCCATCTCTGTCTCTCCCTCCCCCGCCCCCCCCCTCCTCGCTGTCTCTCTCTCTCTCTCCTCCCCTTCTCCCTTCTCCCTTCTCCCTGCCCAACCGACCCGCCCCTCCGCTTGGCTTTGAACAGCTCCTCGCACATAATGACCTTCTCCATGCTGTGGCGTTGGATCACCTGAAGCATGCCCGGCCGGGCCACGCCGCGCGCACTCTACGTGTGGTGTACGCCAATTTGCGCATCCTGGCTGACTGGGCCGCCCAAGGGGGGCTCGTCAATGCCGAGGAAAGCCACTTCGCTCGTGATGCCCAATTGCCGTCCAACTCGGAGGAGTCCCACACGCAGGTGCTTGCCGAGTCTCCCCGGCCAGCCGAATCGCCAGACTGACGCCCAGCAAAGGATGTAAAATAGAAAGAGAAAAGGCAATCAAGCGGAAATCACCGATGTAGCACACATGTTCGCGTCACTATTCGATGGCTATTTGGAGCCGAGGAAGGCTAGCATCAAGCTCTGACCCTCTGGGATCGCCATCTTAGATGGGCGCTTTTTTGCGCCACCTGCGACAGTGGACGCAGACGCCGCTTGAAGCAGGGCAAAGGCCTTGCGATTGGATGTTCCAATCGCCAAGCGCTCAGCCTCGACGGTGTTTCCCGCTACCCCGCCGCAAGATCCCTTCTTGAGGATGGCATCCGCACTGGCCCAAGCTGCTGGACGTGGTGGGCCTTGGGCAAAAGTGTCACCGGCACCGGCGCCTCCGCGACCGTCGGCCGTGTCTGGCAGCGTGCGCCCACCCTGGCCATACTCTCGGGACAGGGCAATCGCCATGACACGGTAGCCGTGGCGCCGGTGGGAAAAAACATGCTGAAAGGACCCGCAGTCCAAGATGCGCGTGGTATCCCCGCTGGCCGGGCCCGGGCCATAGGCCCACTTCTTCGGGGCGATGTCCAGCAAGCTGGCAGCCCGGGCGGCCGCCTCCTCGGCCGGCAGGGCATCCAACTCTTCGAACCCCAATTGCACATCAAAGGACGGGAATTCCCAGAGACCAGCCAGCAGACCACGCGTCGGGCGTCGGGTGAGGAAAAATTCCTCCTGCCCAAGCGCGGTCGATGTGCGGGAAACGATGCACAAGAGGAAGGCCTGAACCGGAGCGGCGGCGCGAGCGGCCGGAGGGGCTGGGAAGTGGCTCGGCTCCGCAAAGTCCGCCCATCGGACTCGCGGCTGACACAAATCACACATCGGTCCCGGGGATTGGATGTGCTCATCCTCCTCGAGCTTCAGTGAAAGGGCCGGCCGGGCCGTGGGCGCCATCCGGCCGGAGGTGCTGAGCTCATTTGACCGACAGAGACTGCGCAATGGACAGATGCCACACTGTGGCGAGACAGGCGTGCAAACCATGGCTCCGAGCTCCATCAGCGCCTGGTTAAGATCGCCGGGACGATTGGTGGCACGCAGATCCTCCGGGTCCGGAAGCCAGCCCCCATCGCCGATCCCACCATCAGGCAAGGCATCCACCGTGTCGGGCACTTCATGGCCCCGGGCGAGGGTGCGCGCCGTGCGCCAGGCCCACCGGTCAGCGGGTGGGCAATTTTTGGCCGGCGCACGGACACGCATCAGTCGGATGAGCACACGCGTGACATTCCCATCCACCAAAGCACACGGCTGGTGCCCGGCAATCGAGGCAATTGCTCCGGCTGTGTAGGGCCCAACTCCCGGGAGAAAGCGCGCCAGCTCACTCGGCGACCAGGCTGGAATGCGTGAGCAACGATGCGTCTTGGCGGAGGGATCCTCCGGTTTGATCGGCATGTGGTCACACTCGATGCAAGAAACGGGGTGCGGGGTGGCAGCCACTTTCTGGGCACCCTCAAGAAGGCGCCGCGATCGGCCGTAATAGCCAAGTCCGGCCCAAGCGGCGGCCACCTCCTCCTCGGTGGCCCGAGCCAAATCCTCCACCGTTGGCCATTTCTACCACAGGGAGCGGGGTATGTGTGTGTGCGTGTGTGCGCGTGTGTGAAGAAGGGAGATCGAGGAGGATGAGGTTGGTTAGTGGATGGGGCCGATCGGCGAGGACAAGCAGTGATCAGGGCGATGGGTACCTCCATCCAGCGTGCAAAGTATGGAAGCACTGTGGCCACTTGGGTTTGCTGGCACATGATCTCGCTCACCCAGACCGTGTAGGCACGCTGCTCGAGGGGAATGGTCTGGACAAGCGTGTATGTGTGCGCGTGCGTGTGCGTGTGTGTGTGTGTGTGTGTGTGTGTGTCGGGGGGCGGGGATCAATGAGCGAAAAGGACGGTCAGTCTACGAGGCAATCGAGGGACGAGGAAAAGGGCCGGAGAAAAGGAAAAGGACCGGAGAAAAGGAAAAGGGCCTACCACATCGTCAGCCACGTCGCGCCAGGGGAGCGGCCGCCGGCAAGCGCGATACCAGTCGAGCAGCGCCTGGCGGATGGCCGTCACATGTTGCTGCCCATTTGGATCGCTGGCCGACGAAAAGCGGTGCCGAGCAACCGAATGCGGGTCTAGGTCCGGCAAGTCGCCAGCAGGAGTTGCCTCCACAGCGGGCGACGACGTCGTTCGAGCGCGCTTCGAGACGGCCGTGCGGCTGACAGCGGTGCTTGCTGTGCGCCGCTTGACGGGCTTCCTCTCCTTTGGTTCTTCCTCCTGTAGCTCATCCCCATCTTCATCGGAGGAGGATGCGAACGGGGAGGAAGCAGAGGAACAAGGATCGGAATCCGAGTCAGAGGCGGTGCTCTGCCTGATGCTCGGATCGCTAAGTGGATCACTGAGCTCGGCGTCCATGTATTGGCCCACGAATCGCGATGTGGAGGCCGTGCGGACCCGGGTGCTCCGCCGAAGTTCACTTGACATCGGAAACACCGGGAGCGGGGAAGGAGGACAGCGAAGGAGAGGGGGGAGCGATGGGAGGCAAAGGAAGAGGAGTCGGACTAGGCAGCAGGAGGCTCACACAGAGACACACACACACACACACACACACTCCGGGAGCAGATTGGCGAAGGCGAGCAAGAGGGAAGGACATGAGGGACACATGGTCGAATGGAAGATCGCCCACCCAGCCTTGCGTGGACGTGCTGAGCCCTAAAAATAACCCCGCCCACTTCATAATCCTCGCCCCTGCTCCCCCGGGGGTGGCGCTCCCATGCGCGCGCGCGAAGAGGACGAGAGACGGCCGAGGGTGAGACATCTTTATTCGGCTGGGGGCCCGCCTGCCAACTCATCGGGCCATGGGCGACACCCACCATCATCCACGAAGAAGGAGCAGTGGCGGGACAAGTGCTGCTGCCCGGGCGGGAGGGTAGCCAGGCGGACCGTCCGGCGGACCCGCCGCGCCGGCTGGGGCTGGCTGATCCTCAAGACAGAGTCCCGCACAATCTCCAGCGCCAGAGCCGGCGACAGTCCGAACGGGCTGGCCTCAGGCCAGGCGTCAGTCCGGGAGTCATCATCGCAAGTGGCCTGGCCTGGCGATCCGGTGGCACGGGCCAGCACCGCCAGGGCATCAGCCAAAGCCTGCTGCTCGGCCGGGTCCTCCTCATCCTGGCGCTCGAGGGCCAGAATCGTGGATGGTCCGGCCGAGCGCCAGGCCAGCCCGAGTGCCGGCTTGGCAAGCGCCGGACCACTGCCTGCCCGCAGGCGAATATCCACAGGCAGTACATCCGATCCGACTCGCGGATGGATGGACCCATCGTCGCCGGTGTCGCAAGCCGAGCGATTGGAGATCTCCTCCTCCGGGGGGCCAAATTGGCCGGTAATTTGGTTTGTCACCATCACAATCAGCCCATATTTACAGGACAACAGGCGGAGCAGAGCGCCGAGTCTTCATCAAGTCGGGACGTTTGCAACAGGTCAGGGACGGAGCCGGAAGAAGCCCCCCGGGCTGGAAGCGAAGAGGAGACAAGAAGGGGAGAGGGAGGAAGATGGGGGGGGGGGGAGGGAGGGCATTGGAAGACAAGTTCCGCGAGAGTCGTACTCAAACATGACCTCGCTTCGCTGGGGAAGAGAGATTGGCGGGCCAAACTCATCTGAGCCCCAGAGATCCGGCTGATGCGCATGGCGAAAAGCGCCGGCAATCGAGTCAAGCACCAAGCCGCGGACTGGCTCGCCAGCTTTGAGCATCTAAAGGCATCCCATCAGTGAATCATGAAACGAAAGAGCGGGGAAAGTGGGCAAGATGAGGATGGCAATTGGGAGGAGTGCGCACTGGCAGCAGGCGCTCCCGCAGGAGGAAGAGGAGTTGATGCGGGCCGATCGCCGCCGAGAGAAGGACATTCTCGGCGACAGACGTCTCAGCCGGTGGAAGCAGCTGGCACAGGCGTCGAATGCCAACGCCCATCGGCAATCCAGCCTCGGTGGTAATATGCGCCACTTGGCCACCGGTGTGCCGAGCTATTTGCAAGGCCAGGTGCAGGGCCAGCTGCGACTTGCCAGAGCCAGCCTCGCCAACCAGCTCGATGAAGGCCCCTGGACGGAGGCCCTGGCCCCCCGGGAGAATCTGATCCAGGCCAGGGAGGCCGGTCGGCACGGGGGTCGCATCTTCACGAGCAGGGAGCAGGGGGGCGGAGGGCGTAAGGAGACTTCCCTCATTGCTGTCTGGAGCAAATTCAAATGCCTGACCGCCAGCTGTCGACAATGCTACCGCTCGGTCCCGAAGGAGACCTAGGGCAGCTTGGCGGCGGATTGCCTGAACTCGAGAGGGGTCCACCCCCGAGAGGACACTCATGAGGCGCTGGGGGGTGCAGAACAATACATCCCGGCAGGAGGCGATGCCAGCAGAGGTTAGGCGTGCAACGTGCGGGCCGGGCCCGAGGGCGGCCGCTAATCCCGCCGCGGGACTGTCGTAAGGACAATCCATCGAGGGGAAGAATACAGAGGGCGTGCGCACACACACACACACAAACGGAGGGAGGAGGAAAGGGGGGGGGGGCGGGGGGGGATTGGCAATGGGCCGGATTGTTTGAACGACATGGGGACATGTGGTCGAGGGTGTGGGGCTTCCTTTTGTAGTGCAAATACAGAGGGGTGAGCTTGAGACTCGAAGAGGGAGCGACGGGGGAGGGGGGGGGGGGGGGGGGGGGAGGACGACAGATCAATCCGCAAATGGCGCACGGGAAAAGGAGAGACGCATCCGAACCGCGGCATGTGCGGAAAGCATCACCGACATCCCGGTAACCGCGACCGTCACCACCTTCACCATGCACTTGGGCAATCTCAAGCAGGACGCTGGCGAGGCCAGAGGCGATGGGCGGGGGAAAACAGCGACCGGGCCACACATCTCGATCAGCGGGGTGAAGGCAGCGTTGTTGGACAGCGGGGCCAGGACCGCCTTGACCGGGGCCAGACGCGGGCTGAAGCGGAAGTAGCTGCGGGCGGTGTCCTCCTCGCGCAGGGTGAAGGTGTGCTCCAGGATGCAGTAGAGCAGGCGGCCGATACCGAAGGACGGCTCAATGACACCGGGGACGAACTCGCGCACTGCCATGGGGAGACGGGGGAGGGGGGGGGGGGGGGGGGGGGGGGAACAATTGAAGATAGATCCTCCTTCAGGCAAATCTGGATGTGTATGTGTATTAGTACTCCCCCACGTAGGCGGGAGGCGCGGACACTGGTGTTCTTGCTTGAGCGACGATCGGGGAGCCCCAGCCCCGCTCGCGAGGGGCAGGAAGAGGACTGAGAGTGGGCATCTAACTCGCGGTGGCGCGACGCGTCAGGTGATCAGCGGCGCTTCTTCTTCCCACCCTTGCCCTTGCTGCCGCCGCTGGAGCTGGTCGAGGAGGAGGCGGGAGCTGAAGCCATGGAAAGCCTGCGTGACGGCCGGGTGCACCGGGTGTGGTCGGAGAGAGAGAGGGAGAGAAGGTGTCAGTCATGAGATGAGTTGGTGCGCCGGGCAGAGGAGGCGGACTGAGGCCTTTTGCAACAAAGATGAGGCGAGATGGGAGTGGGACGGAGAACGCACTTGGTGTCCACCTGGGTCGAGCCCTGCGAGGTGGCATATCCGGTGGCCTGAACGGCCGCCTTGCGGGCACCGCGTGTGCCGGCCGCGCCGCCGCGCCGGGTGCGGAGATGCGGCGGGAACCAGCGCTCCGGGTCGAGGGTGGGCCGAGACACAAAGGTCGGGCCTGAGGCCAGCGAGTCAAGGGCAAAGGCCCCGGTCGGATGCCGGACAAAGCCAGCTGGCACGGCGTTCTTGCCACCGGCTTGATCGAGTTCCATGGCATCGGCGGAAGCGGCCTGCTGCTGGGCCACCGCCTCGCGCAGCTGCATCTTCAACTTGAGCAGGGCCTTGGCGTTCTTGGAGCGGGACTCGCGCACGCGCTGCGAAACCGCCGTGCTCTTGGCCGACAGCCGCTGGGCGGGGGTCCTGCGAAGAGGAGGGCAAAAAAAAAGTCCCCCAAACGGAACACCCCCGACCCCAGACACACACACACGCACACACACACACACGCACACACACACACACACACACACACACACACACACACCAACACATACGAACAGAGACAGACAGACACCAAGACGGAGGGAGGAGGAAGGCCAAGGCGGGCCAGAAAGCAAGAAAGGTGTAAGTAGGGAGCAACTCGGACAAAAGACCAGCCACGCGAGCGTACATCTTCGACATGCTGGCGCGCCGGTGACGCTCCCGACGAAGGGACGCCTTTTGCGCTACCCGGAGAAGGGTCTTCAGCGGGCCGGGCAGGCGGCGACGATAGTACGGATGAGCGGTCAGGCGGTTGACCGACCGGACGAACTTGCGCAGGTGCGGCGCGGCATCCGTGCCAGCGGGCCTGTGGATGGGGGAATTCAATGTACGCCATCACGGCAAGGCACGGGTCAGTCGCTCGAAGGGCAAGCCGGCAGGAAGGACCATGGCCATGGTAGCCGCCAACGTACAGAGGCTCGGAGGAGGTGATGCCCGAGCAGAGGGCGGCCTGCCGAGCCCGAGCATAGGTCCCCAAGGCCTGGATGAAATGCCCCGCCTCCAGGAGCCGAGCACGGTCAAGCAGTTGGCTCGGAGACTGCCGAGCACCATGGTCATCGGTCAGAGGCACAGTCTTCTCAAGCTGCTGCTTGAGGTGGCTCGAGGCACTATCCAATTGACGAAGGGCCTCCTCCAGGAGCTCCCCCAGGGCCAGCTGCTCCTCGGTGACGATGGCCAGGATCTCGGACAGGCGCTCGGCAGACAGGCCGGTCTCCGGGTGGTCCTTCAGCACGGCCAGCAGGTCGCCCTTGCGGAATTGCTCAAGCGTCGGGACCAGCGAAGCAGCGGCGTTGTACCGGGCAGCGGCGGACTTATCCATCCACTGTGATGACGGGATGAGTGCGTGTGTGTGTGAGAGAGAGGGGGGGGGGGGGGGCGGGCGGCATGCGGGGGCAACGGGAGGAACAAAAGGACGGGGCAAGACGAGAGGGAGACCAAAAAGACGTACTTCCGAGTCGGGGAAGTCCAAGCGTCCCTTGGCACAGGCGGCAACGAGGTTGGCGAAAATCTTCTCATACTCCGGGCTCTCCTGTCATTGTTGAGGGGAGGAAAGAAGGGATTAGACATGGTGCCATCGGTAACCTCACGACCAGAAGACCCGGCGCATACCTGAGGCGTGGAAGCTAGAACGCCCTTCAAGAGTTCAACACACCGGGAGAACTGACCCTGCTCAAAGAGCTGGCACAGGAGCGCGGGCAATCTTGGAGTTAGTCAATGCCGAGCTGGGTGGCGAGGTCCTGGGATGGGGAATGGCCGACGCACGATCTGCGAACGCAGCAGGGCGGCCGGACGCTCGGCAATGGCATAGCCCTCGCGCTCAGCCCGAGCCATCAGCTCCTCCGCCAGAGGGAGGTTACGCAGGAGGAAGGCCGAATAGGCGGCAATCAGAGCAGCCTGCTGGCGCTCGGCCACCGTGTGGGCCGACTTGCCAGTGCAATTGTCCAGGATGTGCAGCGCGTCGCGCAGAGCCGCATCCACATGCGACACTTGCCGCGCGGCGGCCGGCTCAACAAACTCCCCGGTATCGCACGGGACAAAAAGGCTGGGCTTCATGTGGATGTAGGCCGCGGCGCGCAGGCGAAGCAGGTCCACATCCATTGGGGGCTTGAGCTGGGCTGTGTCGGAGGCCGGAGGAGGGTCAGACAGGAGTAGGGTGAAAGGCGTGTGCGTGCGTCAAAAACATGCATATGCATGTGCATGTATGTGTGTGTGTGTGTGTGACAGGAGTGCATGCTGGCAAGCATACCATTCAGCTCGGACAGCAGACGCTGAGGGTCAGCGGGGAACTTCCCCGACAGGTGAGAGGCGATGGTCTTCCGCAAGCTCATTTCGGAATGTGGACGCGGAAAGAAGGAGAAAGGAAGGGGAGGGGATAGTCACGACTAAGGGCCGTCAACCGCCGGGCCCCACTTGCCCAAGAGATTCCCTCCACTCGCGGCCGTCGCCCACCGAAGGGTGAACCCCGCCGCAAGCTGGCCCAGACATCGCGGCGGCCGGGTATGGCCTGAGGCAGAACATTGCGGAGTCTCGGATCATACCAGGGACCGAGAGTTAGTCCGGGGAGGGAGACACCAGCCGGCGGGCCATTCGTTGGGGACAGACAGCATGCTGCCCACGGGCGGGGCCGGTCCATCGGCAGCTGGGTGTGTCTATGTTTTTTTCCCCCCCCCTATCCAGGTTCGCGGACAGCCTCTCTTCTTCCTCGGGCCGGGGCTTGCCCGCAAAGAGCATCTCCATACTTCGTGCACCACGCCCGAGGCGGGAGCCGGGCCGAGAAACAGTGCCCAACAGCAGCACCCTCCCCCCCCCCCCTCCCCCCTCCCTCGCGCCTTCCTGCCTCCAAGTGCCCCTCGCTCTTTTTCCCCTTCTCCCGATGTCTGCCGATGTCCCTGCGTCGCCCGAGATCGTCCCCCTGACGCCGGCCGACGTGACGGCCGGTCTCGGGCGGCCCTACGCTTACTACATCGCCAGCCGGGGCGCGTGGCAGGAATCCTGCCAGCCGGAGATCAATGCCCTTGGAGACAGTGTTGATGAGGCGCTTCTTCGCCTGGATGAGCGCTCGGCCCTCGTTCGGGCAATGCTCAACCAGCAGATTTCCGACTCGGCCGAGGCCCAGCGCGAACTGGCCGCCGTCGCCGAGCGTCTCTCCACCGTCTACCAACAGATCGATGTGCTGGATGTACGCCTGCCGGAGCCCTCTTTGCCCTTGCCCTGCCCCTTCTGGCCGTGCACCTAGTGCTGACATGCCCCCACTTCCGCTGTCCTCTCGCCGCACGCGCCTCCCCTCGGCGCCCTCGCTCCGGTCTGCCGGCCTCGCAGGACATCGTGGCCCGAGTCCGCGCAGCTGTCCAGCAGATGGCCCTGGCCGTGGACCAGGCCGAGTATCACTATGATCACTCGCCCACGGTCCGGCCGACGCCCGTCGAATCGACCTATGGCCATGGCGCAGGTCAGCCCCCGGTGCCGGCGCAGACGCCCAAGGTGCCCCCGACCGCCTCCCCCTCCCCCTCCTCTTCCTCTTCTTCCACCTTTGGAGTTCGTAGCACCTTCTCCGCCCTGGCATCGCGCTGGTCGCGAAGCGTGTCCGAAGTGCTCTCGGTCAGTTCCTCTCCAAAAATGCCCGTGCCCACCGTCCCGATCATGCCGGAGTTTCACCCGCCGCCGGTTTTCTCCGCCGAGGCCATCATCTGCCAAGCGCTGGAGCAAGGCGCCGTCGCCCGGGCAGCGGCCACGGCGGCCGCCACCGCGCCCAGTGCGGGCAGCAGGGCACCCGAGCCTCCGCAGAACGCCGATGCTACTGTGTAATTCTGATATTATATATCCAAATCACATGATGCATCTATATGGTCTCCTGGGCTTGGGCCCCTCCCATGGCCATTTTCTCGGTTGGTGGGGTGGTGTGTGTGTGTGTGTGCGCGCGCGCGCGCGTGCGTCTTCGTGCGCGTGTGTCCCCATTGTCGGGGGTCCCCGTGTCGGCGAAAAGTGCCTCCCTTCGGCTCAGGGCAGCTGCCCGGGGGCCGGGCGAGCCGGGACCTACCCTACTGGCGGATCGGCTGCCGGGATCCCGGGAAAGTGAGCGGGGGAGGAAAGCCGACACCGAGACGCTGGCCGAGAGTAGGGTTGGCAGGCGAGCCGTGCATGCATCTTGTCCTGCTCGGGGAGCCGGGTTTCCCCGGTCTCTGGCTGTCTCTCCTTCTCGTCCCCCCCCCCCCCTTTGTCTCTCTCTCTCTCCCCCATGCGTCTCTCTTTGCCTGTCCGTGTGACTGCGGGGTCCCTGGGAATGTGTGAACACAAGTGTGAGCATTGCTCCTCCCACCTATTTCCATGACTGGGGGGGCGGGGGTGGGGGGCCGCTGGGGGCTAATGACTAAAGAAAAAGGGTATTCCCCAGCCACGGTGGCAGCCCGGAGAGGCGGGGGGTGACGAGGATGGAGGTGACTTACACAGGGGGGGGGGGGGCAAGGGCCATGCACATTCTCATCTCTGAGCCCCCTCTGATGTGCCAGTCTCCCCCGTTCGCCTGGAGGCCTTTTGCGCCATGCCCCCCTCGGGCGGCGCAAACGCGAGCCCCTTCGCTCCGTAGACCACGAAAAAGAGAACAGTCTAGAGGAGTGGGCACAGGCTCGCGCCCCACACCTCCGGAGACTGGCCTACGTCACCAGGCCCAGGGCCCATGTGCCGGCGCATGGGGGCTTTTCGAGTGGAGGACCACGGTTGCCCCAACATTGCACCCCCCAGAGAGGGGCGGGGGACGGGGGGGCGGCGGAGTGAGGGTGGGCAACGGACAGGACTCGGTCAGATCGGCTGGGGTCCCGCCGAAAACATGCGGCCTCGTCCCGCCCCCCTGCCCCCCGCCCCCCGCCCCCCTGCCGTGTCCTGCCCGCTGGGTGGGCGGGCACCTGGTGAACGGGTGCGCGCGTTCGCCCGGAAAGAAAAGGGGGAATCCTCCCTCGTAAGCCCAGGGGGGGGATCAGCCCCGACACTTGTTTCCGCAAAGAGTTTGCCACACAAAAGGACCCTCGTTCCTTGACCTTTTTGCACTCCCCTCCCCCGAACTCGGTACCGTTTCCCTCCCCCCCCCCTCCCACCCTTCTATTTTGTTGATATACCTTCCGTCCCACTCCTTGCCCACCCCCTTCTCCGCTCCCCTCCTCTCTCCCCCGTCCACCCCCCCCCCTTCCCCCTGCCCCCCGTCCCTGCGCTGACCGGCCATCCCATTTTTATGCAGACATGTTCGCCCTTCGCTCCGCCTCCCTCCTCTCCCGCGGTCGCCTTTACTCCACCATGACTCCCTGCGCTGCCTCCCAGGCCCTGCACGCCAAGTACCCCTTCCTCAAGGACCTTGGCATCAACGCCGTCAACGATGGTGTCTACAACGGCACCTGGGGCGGTAACGGTCCCGTTGTCACCTCCATGAACCCGACCACCGGCGAGCCCATTGCCCAGGTCAAGACCGTGCGTGGCCCATCCTCCCGAACTCCACGGCGAATTCTTCCCCTGCCACTCTGCACACCGCAAACGCCTTCCCCGCACTCGCCTGCCTCACCATGGCGTGTACCACTCACTCACCTCCCTCCCCCTCCCCTGCCCCCCCTCAACCAACTGACATGATCCTTCAGTCCACCGTCGAGGAGTACCACCAGACCGTCCAGAAGATGAACGAGGCCAAGGCCCTGTGGGCTGCCGTCCCCGCCCCCAAGCGTGGTGAGATTGTCCGCCAGATCGGTGACGAGCTCCGCAACAAGATCGAGCCCCTTGGCAAGCTCGTCTCCCTGGAGATGGGCAAGATCCTGGCCGAGGGCATTGGCGAGGTCCAGGAGTACGTCGACATTGCCGAGTACGCCGTCGGTCTCAGCCGCATGCTCAACGGCTCGGTCATCCCCTCCGAGCGCCCGAACCACATGATGTACGAGCACTGGAGCCCCCTCGGCAACGTCGGTGTCATCTCGGCCTTCAACTTCCCGGTTGCCGTCTTCGGCTGGAACAGTGCCCTGGCCATGGTTTGCGGTGACCTCACCGTCTGGAAGGGCGCCCCCTCCACCAACCTCTGCTCCGTCGCCGTGACCAAGATCATTGCCGACGTCCTGGAGCGCAACAACCTCCCCGGTGCCATTGCCTCTCTGACCACCGGTGACGTTGACATCGGCAAGGCCATCGCCGCCGATACCAACCTCCCGCTCGTGTCCTTCACCGGTAGCACTCACGTGCGTTCTCTGGCGCCCTCCCCCTCTCTCTCTCTCTCTCACGCGCTCTCCTTCGCCCCGGACTTCTTTTCTTTTCCCTCCTTCGGATCTTGCTTGACTTTCCGCCCCGCGCATTTTCTTTGCTGACCATCCTCCCGCGGCCCTCCCCCATGCTCGCTTGATCATGCAGATCGGTCGCAAGGTTGGCACTGTCGTCCAGGAGCGCTTCGGTCGCCCCCTCCTCGAGCTTGGCGGCAACAACGCCGTCATCGTCATGGATGATGCCGACCTCGACCTGGCCGTTCGCGGTGTGCTCTTTGCCTCGGTCGGTACCGCCGGCCAGCGCTGCACCTCCTGCCGCCGCCTCCTCCTCCACGAGAAGATCCACGACGAGTTCATCGAGCGTCTGACCGCCGCCTACAAGCAGGTTCGCATTGGCGACCCCCTGGAGGAGGGCGTTCTCTGCGGCCCGCTCCACTCTCAGGTGTCCGTCGACAACTACCTGAACGCCATCTCCCAGGTCGAGGCCCAGGGCGGCAAGATCCTGTACGGTGGCAAGACCCTGCCCGAGCTCGGCCCCCACTTCGTCATGCCCACCATCACCGCCATGCCGCATGACGCCCCCCTGGTCCACTCCGAGACCTTTGCCCCGATTCTGCACACCATCAAGTTCAGCACCTTCGAGGAGGCCGTCCAGATCAACAACTCCGTCAAGCAGGGTCTCACCTCGGCCCTCTTCACCAAGGACCCCCAGCAGATCTTCAAGTGGATCGGTCCCCTTGGCTCTGACTGCGGCATCATCAATGTCAACATGCCCACCAGCGGTGCCGAGATTGGTGGCGCCTTCGGTGGTGAGAAGGAGACCGGTGGCGGTCGCGAGTCTGGCTCCGACTCCTGGAAGCAGTACATGCGCCGCTCCACTGTCACCGTCAACTATGGCTCCAGCCTCCCCCTGGCCCAGGGCATCAAGTTTGACTAAGCGCGCCATGTGTGTGTGTGTGTGTGCATGTGCATGTGCATCACCGAAAGGTCTCCCCGGAGATGGCGTGTGCTTTCTCCCTCTCTGCGCGTTTTCGGGGGAGAGGGGCTGCACACTTCTGGGGAAACTGCGCGCGGGCATGCCTTCTTTCCTCCCCCTTTGCCGGTGCCTCGTTTTCCTCTGTGCCGCGCGTGTTGCATCTGTCATGCATCCTCACTCCCCCCTCCCCTCCCCCCCCCCTGTGGGGAAACAATACACATTCACGCCCCGCATCCCCCGAAAAACAAAAGTGACGAGTCTGCACCCTCCTCTATTGTCTGCCTCCTGCCGAGCAGCAGCAGGGGCGGCACATGCTCTGTGGGTTGGAGAGGAGGAGAGTTGGGGAAGATAATGAAGAGGGGAGAGGGAGAGAGAGAGAGAACAAGCAAACAAGGACAGTATATTTTGTGTGTGCGAATATGCGCGCTTCCGTGTAGATAGATACAAGAAGGCAGAGTATGACCCGAGAAGGGCCGAACGGGGGGGGGGAGGGGGGGGGGGAGCGACAATCAGCCAAACGTCTGGGATGCCCGGTGCGTGGGCCGGCGCTTGGACAGACGCCACTCGTTCGGCGTCTCGAACTTGGAGTAGAGCGGCTCCAGGCGAACCTGCTGCTTGTGCTTGCTCACGCGGCTGACGTCGGCCACATTGAAGTAGGCCGGCGCCACCTGCACCAACCACCGAGGGTCGATGAAGAGAACCTCTCGCATGTACTCCTTCGTGGTGAAGACCAACGAATGGTAGATGACCCACTCCGGGTGCTTGCTGTGCAGCGACGAGGAGGGGTGAATGTACACCGGGGTGCCCTCGGCCAGGGTCTTGTAGCCTTCCTGGGGGTCCTTCTTGGCGGCGTGCGAGAAGAACCCGGAGCAAATGGCAATGCAGACATTGGTGTAATTCCGCCCGCAGGAAATGATCGGGTGCTTGTAGCGCTCCATGTAGGAGAGAAGCTGCTGGCGGACATCTAGCGAGGTCTTCATGGCCCGGTGGTGGATGAAGTTCTCCGTGCACCAGGTCTTCGTGAAGCCAGCCTGCTTCCAGGCATTGAAGATCGTCAACAGGGTCAGGTGGTCACCCTCCGGCTGGAAGAACTTGTTCCGCGCCTGATCGGCCTTTACCTGGTCGTCAGCCGGCCGGTAGAAGAACTCCGAGTCGGCCGACAGCATGGACACAATGGTCAGAACCTCCTCCGAACAGCCAAGGTTGACGGACTCGATCAGCTGAGAGAGTTCAAGGAAGAAAGAAATAGCGAGCGAGAGAGAGGGAGAGAGAGGGAGAGGGAGAGAGAGGGAGAGAGAGGGAGAGGGGGAGAGGGGGAGAGAGAGAGAGAGAGAGGGAGAGAGAGAGAGATAGAGAGAGGGAGAGAGAGAGAGAGGGAGAGAGAGAGACAGGAGCGAGGAGACGGGGGAATATCGGAAAGGCAGGCAGGGAGTTAGGGAAGAGAACACGAGAAAGGCGGGAGAGGGGGGAGCGCCCGCGGGAGAAAGCGAGAAAACTGGTAGCCGGGAAACCGACGCGCACCATCTTACACAGCTGAGGCTTCAGCGGGAACTCGGCCATCTTACGGCCCAGGCGCGTCAGCAGGCCCTCATTGTCCAGTGCACCAAGGGCATACAACTGCTGCATGGCGTGGACCATGAACTGCATGTCGGGCTTGTCCATGAAGTCGAAGTTGAAGATGTCATTGATGCCGATGGCCTTCAGCGTCAGGACCACGGTGGCCAGGTCTGTCCGCTGGATTTCCGGAATCGGGCTATCATGCATCTCATTGTGGTATTGGCTACTGGTGTACAGCCGCAGGCACTTGCCCGGGCCGGTACGACCGGCACGACCCTTGCGCTGCTCGGCTTGAGCCTTGGAAATGGGGACCACCTCAAGGGCATCCATGTCGAGCTTGGGGTTGTACGTGTTTTGCTTGACATACCCCGGGTCGATGACATACACAATGCCATCGATGGTGAGGGAAGTTTCGGCGATGTTGGTGGCCAGAATGACCTTGCGTTTGTCTGAGGGCCGGGAGAAACAGGGCAAGAGACACGGAGTTAGAGCGAGGCAAAGAGCCCGGGTGGCCGAGGGGGAGGCCCGGGAGGGGAAGGGGGGAGGGAGGGGGGCAGGAAGGCGAGGCAAAGCAAAGCAAAGCAAGGCGAAGCCCCGAAGGCAAAGGCAGATGACGCACGCGGCGGGGTGGGCTCGAAGACGCGCGACTGCATCTGCGAGGGGAGAGTCGAGTAGATGGGCAAGATGATGAGCTCCGGCACATCCGAGCCAAAGCTCTTCATGCGGTTGTAGAGAACCTCGCAGGCGGAATCAATTTCCTCTTTGCCCGTCAAAAAGACCAGGATGTCACCCTCGGGCTCGGAGAAGTGCAAACGCATGACCGTCAAGATGGCCTGCTCCAGATAGTCGGTGGTGGGCTCCTTGGCATAGAGGACCTCCACATCGAACATGCGCCCAGGGATCTGGAAGAGATTGCAGTTGAAGAAGTACTCGGAAAACTTGCGGGCATTCAACGTGGCCGAGGTGACGATGAGTTTCAAGTCCGGCCGGCGCTGGACCGTCTCCTTGAGCAGGGCAAACAGGACATCCGTGTTGAGGGACCGCTCGTGGGCCTCATCCAACATGATGACCGAGTATTGCCGGAGATCCGGGTCGATGAGGCACTGACGCAACATCATACCATCGGTCATGTAGCAAATCTTCGTGGCGCTGCTGGTCACATCGTCGAAGCGCACCGTGTAGCCGACCTCCTCGCCGACACGGCAGCCAACCTCCTCGGCCACACGCCGGGCCACCTCGGTGGCTGCCACGCGCCGGGGCTGGGTGCAGCCAATGCGCCCGTTGGCAGCGAAGCCAGCCTCCGCCAGGTACTGCGTCAGCTGGGTACTCTTGCCGGAGCCAGTCTCACCAATGACCACCAGGATCTGGTTGTCCCGGACGGCTTGGATCAGCTGCTCACGCAGGCGGAACACCGGCAGGCTCTCCCGCTGCTCGCGGATGCTCATGCTCGTTTGCCGGCCGAAGGTGGTGTTTGTGGAGATCACGGCCTGGCGCCACTCCGGCTCGTCAGGTCGCTCGGCCGCCATGCCACGCAAATCATTGGCAAAGGTCCGCGACCCGGGAATCGAGAGTGGATCATTCCAGCCGGTGCTCAGATCGTTGGGCACCGAGTCCAGGCTGGACTCGAGTTCCTGCTGACGCAGCTCCGCGCGCTGCTTGGCCAGGGCCGCCTGCTTGTTGGCCGCGGCCATCATCGACCCGTCGGGGTTCTTGATGATTTTGATTGGCGACATGTCCAGTGCCTGGCGCGCCTTGCCGGCCAAGAAGACGGGCATCCGGTCGGACAGCTCGATTTCGACGTCCTGCTCGGCCTCCTCGGTCTCGGTCATCGCTCGGCCGGGCATCGGCACCGGATGGAAGTCGGCATCAAAGTCCTGGGCAAAGTCCCTGTTGGGTGGCTGTGTCAGAGGGAGGGATGAAAAAAAAAAAGGGGGGGGGGGAGGGGAGGGGCGAGGGGAAGGGTAGATGGGGGCGGTGACGACGTGGCAGGTTGGAAAAACGCACTCATTGCGAAGGCCCGCGGCCGAGAGCTGCGACAGTTCCCACCGATCGGGGGAGGACATGCGGTGCTGCAGTCGCTTGGTGGAGGTGGATCGGCTTGCCGTTTGGGCTCCGGAGAGGGGTGGCGAGGGGAGAGCCTGGTGATTGGAAAGGGTGGCGAAATGGGTGAGTTGATGAGATCGAGGATCAAAAAGGAGGCGCCAGCAGGACATGAGAAGGAGGAGCATGTGAGGGAGGACGTACTGAGGGGATGGGGCCCCAGAGATCGTGCTGATCCAGGGCGGCGGCCTTGCTTCCGCCAATCGGACGCTTGAATTGATCGTCATCATGGCTGTCATAGCGATCACGTCGGTCATATTCCCGGTCACGGTCGCGATGGTCGCGGCTGTCGCGGCGGTCGCGGCTGTCTCGATGGTGATGGCCTCGATCGTCGTGGCGGTCCTCACGGCGGTCATAGCCGCGGTCGTCGCGACGGTCGTCACGGCGATCATCGCG